TCACCAAACCCTATCATCTTTCTGAATTTGGCTTATCTAGCTTAACAGTCTCCAGTTCCATCCACTAGCCTCCAAATGACATAGTCCCGATGGTAGGCATCTTGGCTGGCTCCATATCAAACAAGGATAAGAAGGTAGAATAAAGGTTTTAAATGCTAATTTTATATAAAAATCCCCAACACAAAACTGTATTTTTGAAAGAAAATAAGCTTGTTTCTATATGCACATTGTGTGTGTGTGTGCAAGCTTGTTTGATGCATGAATGTAAATGTCTTGAGGCATAGACCCATGTGTACACATGTGGAGGTCTGAGGAAGTAGATGTCTTCCTCAACCTCCCTGTTAACTGCCTTGAGACGGGATTTCTTACTGAATTAAAAGGTCACAGTTTTTGCTAGGCTGGTGGGTCAATAAACTCCTAAGGTCACCTGTTCCCTCCACACCAATGTCTGCTTTGGAGGAAGCATGCATGGCCATGTCCAGTTTTTTTATACAGGTGCTAAGGAGTCAAACTCATGTCCTCATGCTGACACAAGGAACATCATTGGGGCCATCTTCCTGGACCCTACAAGTGCAATTCTTAAAACTACTGACTTTCATGTTTGAGAAGATTCATCACATTTCCTGATGAGACCTCTTAAAAAGGGTTCACAGAGGTAGGCAAGGAATAGTTGTCCCAGAGGGCTAATCGAGACCAAGGAAAGGTAATTAGCTTATGGACCAACCCTACAACATTCTGATCTCTCCACAGTACTGAAATTCTAGTCAGTCAATCTCCTTAGACACAGCTTCTTTTCGGGAGATTTAGTTCACAGTTCTACCAGTTCTGTGCCTGCCTTTTGGAATCCATTAAGTTAGCAGAGCACTAGCTTCTGCCAATCCAAAAGCTCAGGGAGCATCTTGGGCCTATAGGAAAGTCTCCCTCATCTTGCTGTACCTGCCTCTCTGATGTACCCACCAGTGCATTTTAAACTTGCCTGTATTTATGACTTTCTTTCTTTCTTTTTTTCCTTGTAAAACTATTTTTAAAAACTTCACGAAACTGCTCCCATGTTGGAACATGGAATTTGGGGGTAACTGAAATCTGTGTTCCTGGGTCGTGGGTGGTCACTCAGAATGGCAGCAGAATATAAACTAGCTCTTATCCCACACCACCCGAAAAAAAAGAATTAACTTCATATTTTTGAGAGTCACGATTAACCAGAAATGATAACAGCAGCAGTGTTGTTTTTGTAATGGCATTCAGAATTAATAGAATGTGATTCTACTCAGATTAAAGCTCTTTCTCATCCCTTCAAAGCACTATGAGGTTGAATGTTACTGTCACATGTGAATGAATTTTAAATCCAAGCAAACACTTCTTGGCACACATTTCCGTGCTGGTGGTGTCCTAATTGTCATGATGGGGAAAGGCATGGCAGAAGAAGTCTCAGGTAGCTGGTCATGCTGTCAGCAGTCAGGGACACGGAGCAGGCAAGAACATGAGATAGTCTACAAAGCCTCAAGGCCCACCCTGTGACTTCCTCTAGGAAGGCTGGGCCACTTAAAGATCACTTAACCTCCTGCCAAAACACCCTCTGCTGGTGACAAAATATTCAAACACATGAGCACGTGGAGGATATCCCACATTCCAACCAAGGCAGCCCTAAGTGACTCGAGTGATGGGGCCCGTGAACATACTAGTCAGAAGGGTGCTTCCTGTCCTCAGTGGGACAAAGCAGGATGGGGGGAGGATTTTATCACACTCTTAAACATGGCTCTCGTTGAAAATAAGCTGTCTACTTCCAGAATTTTCCACATACAGATTTCAGACTCTGGTTGACTTTGGGTAGCTAGAACCATGCAGAGCAAACCTGTGGGTAAGGCAGGATATGTGGACAGCACTAGGCAGGGTGACAGAAGTAGACATCAGATAGATTTCTTTCATTGGTTTCTCGGCTAGGCCGTTTGTTGCTTATTGCATACCTTAAAACAATCTCCGAAATTATACGCAGTAAGGAATAATATCACCTCAAATTTCCAAATCGAAATATTCTGTTGAACAGTAGTGTCTGAGCAGCCTCCTAGAGGGCAAGCACTACAGGAGCCAGCTGCGTCTTTCTTTAATGAAGTCGGTACTACTGCTCATGACAAGGCCCATGGCTACTGTTCAGTATTTGTGAAGAGTAGAACGGGAAGCATACCACGCCAAGGCCCATACACTACAGACGTCCATATTAGCAAAACCCAAAGCAGCCAAAGTTTATGGAGGGTTTCGCTAAGCCAAAGTTTACGAGCCACACACTGTAAGCCAGGGCTTGTATTAGCTAGGTACATTTAAATAAAATAAACTTAAAACTGTCAAGTGCAATTGGAAGTATACAGGGTCCCACACTTGTAAGCAGATTCAGATTATGGGCTGTGTTCCTTCAATTTTTCTTCATGAAAACGAAACTGCCTCACAAGCATGCCTAGGGTTCAGCTCGTCACTGCTGGCTTTAGAATAAGAAACTTTTTTTTTTGTTTGTTTGTTTTTTGTTTGTTTTTTTTTTTCTTTCTGATTTCCTGTAAGCTGTTACTTCTTCTGGCTGCTTCAGAATTTATTTTAGTTAAAAGAGAATGTTACATAGAGAGAGGCTTAAGGATGAATTCCTAGACTAATCAGTACATTAAGAGAGGGGTTCCTTACTGTGATCAGTTAACATTTTCTGGTCCTGCCTGTGGTGCTGAGCGGGCATCAGCATCCCAAAGCACAATGGCAGTAATGGAAAATTGGCATTAGTTACTTCCTTTCGCTGTGATAAAACATCATGACCAAGGCAGCTTTTAGACGGGTTTATTTAAGCTTACGGTTTCCGGGTTCCTGAGGGCAAGAGGCAAGGCAACTGGCGGCAAGCATAGCAGCAGGAGCAGGGAGCTGAGAGCTGGCAGGCTCCCCTGCACACACCAAGCAGAAGAAAGGAAGCTGGAAGTAGGTGAGGCTTTAGGGTTTCAATGCCCAACCTCACTAAACACATCCTCCAGCAAGGCCTCACCTCTTACACTTTCTCTTAACCTCTGAGCCATCTCTCTAGCCCCTATGCTTTCTCAAACGGTGATGCCAACTAGGGATGAAGGATCCAAATACCAGAGCCTATGAGGGGCATCTCTTACTGAAAACTCCACAGAATACATACTGAAAGTAAGCGATAAAAATCCACAGTGATATGTTACACACACACACACACACACACACGCACGCACGCACACACATACACACACACACACACACACACGCACGCACGCACACACGCACACATGACTTCCACAGCCCTCCGAGGTACATTCTGTGGGGAAATGTCTTTTCTGTTTGTTTGTTGCTTACATTGCTCAACTCCTGTGGTTTGAATGAAACGTTTTAATAAACATATCCTAACACGTCCCTTTGCTGTTCTAATTTACTGCGTGTTGGGAACTTGCAGCGCGTTACCAGCAGGTAGAAGAATGTTCCCGGCGTTCCCACCACACAGTATACACAGCTTACACTCACATGTTAACTTCTGCACTTTCTCCTCTTGTTTTTTCCCATTGTTCCCTGACAGTGCAAACAAATCTGAATCAAACAGCAGTCTATAAAGCCTTCCAGAACTCTATCCATTTCCAACTCATCTTTAAAAACACCATGATTAATATTTTAAGAACATACAAAATCTGATTTACACTAAAGAATGTTTGGGGTCCTCCTAATTTCTGCTCCCCGCCCCCCTCCCAGTGCACAGGTTCCTTGAAATTAAGGTATTTTATCATCTTTCAACCTCTAGTTGAATTTTGCTGAGTTAAATGAAACACTGGCTTTAGCCCCCAAACAGGGCTTTCTTCCAATGGGAAATCGTCATAGGCATGCATATGTACTTGATAAAAATGGCTACTGTGAAATAAATACTCACCGACAGTGCGATTTAACATAGATTCAGGTTTGAGAAGAAAGGCTCGGAGCTGGTGAGGTTTCTCTGCACTGTACCAACCACCTGGAACGGATCCTGGTTTGACTTCTTCCTCATCCTGGGTTAGGTCTGGTTTTCATTCCAGTCGTCTAAGACATGATAATGATCCCACTGGCCTTGGGGCCTATACACAGAGTCCTTTGGACATTCCGTTGAAGTGGGTTTAATAATGCCCAAGATCTAGTGACTCATTTTTGCCTGCCACATAGGTTAGTTAAATGTCTCTCTTAAGTGGAATGTTATCATATCCAGTGGGACAGGACAGCATTTAACTAAACTTGCTTGTTCTAGTCCTATACTCCACACGCTATCACGCCACGTGACTAAAGCACTTCAATAAGTGAATGAGCCAGTGACCTCTGCATACCTGTAAAAGGTGGGCTGCTCCATTGGTTGTAATAAGACCTATATCATACAGTTATATCAAAATAAAATCACAAGGCCAAACAATATAGTCTGGGCTATTGGTGAACAAAACTAGCTTAAATATATGCTTTGATAACAAAGCCCAGAAGTTAGCCCAGACTCTGGCATAAATAAACAGGTTAATGAGCACAAACATTGCATTGGGTGCTTGGCCACGAGGTCTCCGGGCAATAATGTCATTGACTAGGTTAGTTGAGGCAGATGTATGTATTGCAGATTGAATGGTTGCCCTACTTAATTTGGTGGGAGGACTACCCAGAATAAAAAAAAAAAAAAAATTTCCGGGGATATGGCTCTGTGGTAGCATGCTTCCCCAGCCTGTGAGGGTCCTGGTTCCACAAGTACCTGGCAAAGGGGCTGTTGGAGAGCTTTGAGCTCGCACGCAGCACACACACTCGCACTGCGATGAACGTCAGCCCCCCTTCAGGCAAACGTTCAAAACGTCCACCAAGAGCATGTTCAAAGCAAAGGGGCAGGTTAAAAAACAAAACAAAACAAAACAAAAAAAGCCCAAGCCTATGAACGCGCTCTGCCCTCGCCCCGGTGTGGAAGCCCGCAACTTCCTTCCAGTTTGTTTCCAGCGCCAAGGGGCCCGGAAACCCTATTGCGAGACTGGCACGGGCGCCGTCCAATGGGCGGGCACGCCAGGGCGGACCCTCGCGCGCACGTCCAATCGGCTAGCCCCTTCCTGGGTGGGGAGGCGGGCGGAAGAGCAAGGCGGAAGCGGCCGCCATGGAGCCGCTGGTGCAACACATGCAACGCTTCTCCCAAGTGCTGGCCGTGTCGCGTGGGGCGGAGGTGCGCTCCTGGGATGCCACGACGGTGCGCCGGGCGCTGCAGTGGGCGCGCTACCTGCTGCACGTGTACCGACGCTTCGCGGCGCGGGGCCGCGCGCGGGAGGCGCTGGAGAGGCGGCTGCAGGCGCGGGCCGGGCCGCCGGGGCTGCGCAGCTTCGCGGCGCTCGAGTGCGGGGACGCGCGCCTCGCCCTGCGCCTGCTGAGGAACCGCGCGCTCGCGCCCGCCGCCGCCCGCGCGCTGCCGAGCCTGCTGTTCCCGGGCCCCGCGGCCGACGCCCGGGACGACGCGCCGCAGCCGCGCTTGGTGCTGCTGGCGCGCCGCGGGAGCGCGCTGCACCTGCTGCTCCGCCTCGGCGGCCACGCGCCCCGGGCCGCGCTGCTGCGCACGCACGCGGAGCTGCTGCGCGCGCGCCTCCGCGAGCTGCCCGGCGCCGAGCCCACGGCCCGACGGGAGCTGCTGGAGGCGCTGTGGACGCGCGGGCCCCGGGAGCACGTGCTGAGCGTGGCGGCCGAGGCGCTGCTGCGCGCCGCAGACCTGGGCCTTGCCGGCGGCGGCGCCGACGAGCCGGCGGCGGCGGAAGAGACAGCGGAGCTGCTGCGGTGGCTTCTAGACAGCCCCGAGGTCTTGGCCGCTTTCTGTCGCCAGCTGCCCGCCGTGCGCCTGGCCTCCTTGGCCAGCTGCCACCCGGCGCTGTCGCGCGCCTACCTGGGCCTGCTGGCAAGCTGGGCCGTGCAGCTGCACTATGACCTGCGAAAGGGCTCTTGGGTCCCCGTGCAGCCTGAGGACATGACCTGGGAGGAGTTGTGCCTGCGGCTGCAGAGCTTGTGCCAGGCCCCACCACCCATGCAGGAAGAGGTGCTAGAGACTCTGCGCGCCAGCAAAGCCCTGGATGGAGATTTCGAGGTTCCCGGGATCAGCATCTGGACGGACCTGTTGCTGGCCCTGCCCGGTGCTGCTTGACTCTGAGTGTGGGGACATCCGGGGAAGGGAGTCTCAAGTCCCAGGCAGAGCATGTGGACAGACCAGTCTCAGGGAGCGATGTAGGGATCAGCAGACATCTCACCCAAGCCTCTGATCTCTGTGCACAGTGTTTACAAAATGTCAGTGTTCTCAACGACGTCCTGTACTACATGGGCCCAGAACTCAAGATTTAGGTGCCGGATTTAAGTGTCTCAATACAAGTACAGATAGTTTTTAAAACCCTGAGTTTTCTAGATACCGGAAATAGTGTTACTTCCCATCTGTTGGTGGACCCGAAATCTTGCCCATGTTCGGCAAGCACCACATCCCTACCCTTGGAAGAACTCTTCAAGCCGTGGAATTTTAAGCTTGTTTTGTATAAGGCTAATTTGTATGAATACTAAAAGTAGATGCACTTTTTAAAGGAAAAAGCTTTAGATTTTTTTCAAGGCTTTTTTTTTTTTTTTTTTTTTTTTATCCGATTGGTTTACTTAGTTCTTAGTTTTCATAGTGGAAATTTTTGTTTAACCAGGAAATGTGGTAGCACCAAATGTTAGTTTCAGAGTTGACTGGACTATAGTGAAAGTCCTTGATGTGCCTTCCTTACCCTGTTTACCAACCTTAAAGTGAATTAAAGCTATGTTGATCACAAAGTTTTGTCCCTGCTTTGTACAAGTCACTACTCGGAAAGTAAAAATAGCAGGATGTTAGTTTGAAGCATTTCTTGAGTACACACTGAAGTGTTTAGACCACAGTAAATATAAATATATCCTTTTATATATTTGGGTTGGATGATAAAGGAATCAGACTAGTGAGAATCGAGGCCTTTTGTGCTATTTATCAGGTCAATAGCCCCAACTTGGTGCCATCGCTACAGTGTTTAAATATTTGACTCTGGTTTTCCTCATCGTTGCTGGATGGAGACTATTCCGGGTGTTTTGCGACTAAAAACCCAACTTAGTTTGTCTGCTTGAATGTTCTACACTTAACAAGAAGTAGTTTTGTTAGTTAATAACTTTCCAGGGACCAACATAACTTACTCCATACTTACTCCATGTTAAAGAAGATAACTGAGACTAAGAGCTTTTGGTAAGTACTCATAACACAAATCTTCATTCTAGAAGTGGAAATAGAGCAAAAGGCTATATAATGTAGACTTTTAATTCTTCGTTGAGTATAAATTATGGCCCAGGACTTTCTAAGATTACCAGAGGGAGAAAACAATGCCATTTTTATTTCCCTATGGTCAGATTTCCTTATTCTAAAACTGATCTGTGTAAACCATTCTTACTCCTTCTGTATTCTGACTGGATTCCCTTGTGCATTTACACAGGAGTGACAACTAAGCCACACTGGTTATAGTTCCAGCAGCTTTAGACATTCCCTTACCCATCTCTATTCAGTCAGCTCTCCTCGAGGTACACATTTCCCTTTTTCTCCTGGATCCTTGGCAGCATTTATAATTTTTTATGAAGCGAGTCAGTGTCTGAATTGTATGTTGATGTTTTAGGATCTCTGGAGCTGTGGTTAGCCTGGAACTCACTGTCAACCCATGCTAGCCTCAGACTCCTGCCGGATCCTTCCTGCCTCAGCTGTGTAAGTGCTGAGATTATAGGTCTGAGCCAGCATGTATAGCTAAGTTCTGTGTCTCCGTTTTGACATTTTCTGCTGTTTGACTTTGACTTGTTACAGGAGGAAACTAAGTTTCAAGTAGCAAAGTAATCTTAATTCTCTTAACAGTTTTACCAGTTCCTTTGCTAATGATTTTGTGAGTTCCAAGACTGGGTTTCCATTCATTTACTTACTAATTTTGTTTGTTTGTTTTGATTTTAGGATTCTTTCAGGAAACATCTCGTGGTGATACACATTTTAATGGGTATCTACAATGTGCCTGCTTCATATTGCAAGGTGGTTTCCTGTGCACGTGTTTTTCACTTAACATTCAGTGTGCCAGTTTACTCGTCTCTTTCCTTGTTAGTAAAGAAGGGAGTCCTCAGGCCGCAGTTCCTTTGTAAGTGGACTTTCTTCTATTTTAAAGTGATCCTTGCTTCGACATCTGCATCCCTACCATTTTCTCCATGTTCCTAGTCTCCCCTGTGACTGGCTAGAAGGTTTATGCTAACCTGGACCTGTTTCCCGGTTGCCTCCATGTCAGTTTGTGCTGCTGCTATGGAAACCGCTGGTCTCATTAGTACTGATATATTCTGCCCCAGTTTTTACCTGTAAATGCCTACCCAGCTTTTTTTTTTTTTGGTGGAGGGGATTTCCAAATTCCTCTGCTGTTACACTGGTTTGGGACACTTTGTGAATAAGTAGAAATAGGACCTACATCTTATTTTCCCTCTTAATGTGTTGCAGTGAGTTACTTGGGGCCAGGGCTAGAGAGGTGGAAGGGGTCATCTGCCTACCTACTATGAGGGAAGAAATATGCTTTTCTTTCTATATGCCTGTCTTTTTATTCAAATGGTTGTGTTTGGGACGTGGTTATCTACCTATGTTATATCGACAACGCCTGTGCTACTAAGTAGTGTTGGCAAGGCCTTGGTAACTCAAGGCCTTGATATTTAAATTTAAATATCACTTGTTCAAATTTTTATTTGGCTTCTTTCCTCTAAAATCTGCCTGGAATATACTCATATATGTGTGACATATCTCACATGCTTTTTTATGACTCCAGGATTAATTTCTAGACGTGTGTGTATGTGTGTCTGTATGTGGATGTTTGCGTGTGAGTATGGATGCCCTTAGAGGTCACAAGGGAGTATCCTGTCCCTAGAGTTGGAGTTACAGGTAGTTGTGAGCTGTCCAGTTTGGGTCCTCTGCAAGGGCAGCAAATGCTCTTCAGCACTGAGCAATCGAGCACTCGTCTTTATCGTTTGCATTGCATTTCAGAGTCTGCAGCCCCTCAAGGTGAGATCACACCCCTCTGTGTTGACAGTACTCTGTTTCTTTATGTGTTTTGTGGTGTTTTTGTTTTGTTCTAGGGTTTTGTTTGTTTGTTTGTCTGAGTTGATTTTCTTGGGTTGTACATCTTGGTGTCTACTTGATTGGATCTGTAATCAAGGCCTCTGGGGAGATCTGAAAGGTTTTCTCTGGGAAGATTAACTCGCGAAGAAGAGCCATATACATACCTAGTAGCCTTCCAATTGCCCAGGTATATGGAGATCAGAAGGAAAAGCCCTTGACTTTTGCTCATAAGCGCATGTACTCTTGTACATGTGTGTCTGGACAGCGTGCTCAGTGGGAACAAGACCACTTCTGACTTATTTCCCTTTGAGCAGCCAGAACCCTGGGCTGACATGGACACTCACGAGCAGCTGATTGCTGTGCTTGAAACAAAATCAGTTTAGAGGTGATTTAAGTAGAATACATCTGAACAAGAACCACATCCTAAAACTTGGTGACTTTCTCCCCAGCAGCCTTAAATGCTTCCCAGAGTTACTCTTCTGCTTCAGGGTTGGATCTACATTCATCCATGCCATGATTATATCTGAGGGTAGCCTGGGCTATATAACGATGATGCATTCAGGACAGTGAGCTGAGTCCCAGACCAGTCTGAGCTGCTTATGAAACCCAGGCTAGCCGGGGCCATGGATAAGATCCCTGATGTCCTCTTGAAAAGGATTCTGTTCTGTGAATGAATTTTCAAGTTTACTATTTCTCGCTCTCATGTTTTTGCCTGATGCTGTGATGCTGAGGTTCAAAAGTAGAAATAGGTTATAGACAGAGTGACCCCTCTCCTAAGAGTTATGCATGTAAGATATTCATTATTGACAAAGTTAATTGATGCAAACAGTCTAAGAAGCAACCATTGATTTTTCTCCAGGTTTAATTGGAAATGATCAATTAGTCTATCAGAAGTGTGGCACCACCTCATTTATCAGATGCTCATTGCCCTAGTGGGCTAAGGGTGCCCTTTGACTTAGGGACGTTGTAGCCCTAAGGGAAGGAGCTAAACCATTACAGTGATGGCTGGTTCCATCGCTCTAGGAGCTTCGTTACTCTACAAACTGCAGTTGGGTTTTGAATTAAAAGGAGCTTACCATGTCTAAAGTCCCACTGTGGCTGTGTCTCCTCACATAGTGAGGGATCTGAACCCCAGCCTGAGATAAGTCCCCCATGCCGTGACTGCCAGGTCCAAGGGGAACTCCGGTGTCCCAAACTCCAAATGGCAGTCCAGATATCCAAAACGACTTCTTTTCAAAGACGGGAACTATTTCTCAAGCTCCCGAGGAATGCTGGCTTTTCTCTACACACTGAAAACCCTGCTGTAGCCCAGGCTGAGCCCCTTTCTGATAGCCGGAACTGCCTTTTGGAGGTTAAGGAATTGGGGGTTCCCTTGGATCTGACTGTGATCACAGAGTTGATAGCATGAGACCCTAACTTTCATTTGATATATATGTATGCGACAAAGGCTCTGTCAAGCTCTGAATGCCATCTGTGGTAACCTCTAGATCCTAAGGTTTAATGTGAAGTTGGCTTCTACACGATTTTACAAGTCCACTTGTTGCATAGGCAAATTTTTACGACCCTTTACTTCTGCATTCAAGTGGCAGTGTTTCCCTCATCTGGCACACACTCCGTCCGTCCGTCATAGTTGTGATGTGCTAACAATTATTACAATCCAATGTCCATAATAAGCTGTTGTTTGTGTTTTAAAGTGATCTTGCTGGATTGCTCAGGCTGACCTTGCTGGATCTCAGGGTTTCTTGGCCCAGTGTCCGTAGCAATGGAGATTACGGCTATGTGCTTGCCATGCCTTGCTTATGATTTATAGATATTTACATTATGAGCAGAATGTCTCGTATTTTTAAAGATGATAGAGAAAGCAGTATGTGAAGAATGGTTTTGTTTTTGGAGACTCCTTCGACTGCTCAAGGCTCTCCTGGATGGGTGCTGAAACATTCATTACTGTGCTGAGCTTTGACATAATATCAATAACTTTGGTAAGATATTCCGTGTGAAACTATGCATATGCTTAGAATATTGACACAGTGCCTTCAGGGACATACGCTTGTGTGCTGTTAGCTTTCAGTGAATGCAGATGTAACTGTAGGAGAAAATGGCCAGATTACAAGTCCCAGACACGTTGAGTATCATAAAAACCTCTGATGTTAGTCTTAAAATTGGCCTCACCAAAACCTGAACAAAAACCAAGACAAGTAGAGGAAAGAAGTTTGTTTGTAGGGAGAAGAGGTGCTGGTACATATGGAAGTCAGGGGAAGGGTTTAGAATCCACAGTGCACATGTATGAAGCTGTAAAAGAACAAAAGCTACCCAAAATGATACATGAATTTGTGTAACAACTGAGTTTTATACAGTCTTTAATATATCAGCAATTAAAACTTTAAAAAATGAAACCATGAAGTTTATATTAGTTGTATTGTCATTTCTTCTGAAAGTAATGAGATATTATAATTTGGAATATTTCTGGAAGA